CGGCCAAAGTCCTCCGAACAACACGATCGTGCTCCATATCGAAGAGAAGAGGAGAGGCTCGCAGACTGGCGACCGTGCAGCTTGCGCTGGGCCTTGAACATTTGAGATCGGGCGGGACCATGATCGTACTCCTCCACAAAGCCGAAGCTTGGGATACACTGTGCCTTGTTCGGCTGTTCACAAGGTTCGCCTCGATCAAGTTGTTCAAGCCTACATCTGGCCACGCAAAACGTTCGTCCTTCTACATGGTCGCCAGCCGTGTGCAAAGCCAAAAGCCGGAGGCTCTTGCAGCAATCTCGAATTGGAAGAAGACCTGGAACACTGCTACCTTTGCCCCTGACGAGAAGTATTGGAAAGAAATTCGCCATGGAGAGGAGCCCGTCTCGGATGTGCTCGAAGACTTTGGGCCAGAGCTCATCAATCTGGGAAGAAAGGTTTGGGATGTGCAGGCTAAGGCACTTGCCAAGGCCTCATTTATACATCAAGAGGAAAATCAGTGAAAGGTCTCGCAGCCTAATACCAGAGTATTCCGCACGTATTAGTGTCTAAAAAAAAAGTCGGTATTCTTCTTACACTTATTGTAAAATCCTTGAGTACGTTTGTCCTCACTTATATTGTGCCTTAAGATACCCTTTTCGGCACACATCCTCAAGCACCAAGTCGTCTCAGTCGAACCGCAGTCTATTGTCAGGACCGTGCCATCAAAAACAGAGAAGAATATGTTGATGGCCAGTTAGAGCAGCGTGTTCACACCATGCTATTATGAGCTTTATCCACTGACAACTTGGGCAACAAATCGACGCATTTACAGGTACCCTCCTGCCATGATTTTGTAGGCCATATCACCATCAGTCAACCAGTAACCTGCGCTCAATGATCGCTCGTCCACGTCGTGTGCTATCGGTAGTCTTAGTGGCGGCTTCGGAAAGTTTGTCAGGCTTCGGAACTGATTAGTAGCCTCCTCGCCATCCAGTGCCCTCCATATTGATTTCGATAATGTTTGATTGTCAGGCACTTCGAGAGGATGGGAGTTGCTGCATGGCGTCACCGTACACGCGCGGTAAGTGCGAAAGGGCACCTCCACTCTCATGTCGCGCAGCTGTGCGTGCATGGCGCGATAGAAGTCGTCAATCATGGGCAGGGCCGGACCATCGATAATAATGTCTTGCTGGCTGCCGACGAATATGGAAATGCAGAGACTTCGTAGTTGGTGACAATGTTGAGCAATGTTGTCGAGGACCGGCTTGACTTTATCGAAGTCATGTAGTAACATGTCATCTTCCTTGACTATCCACTCCGGTTCCAGCATTATCTCGAGCGATACAATAGATGCAAGGCGCTCTGAGGGCATAAGTTTGGGTAGGTGAAGAAGAAGCGGCTTGCTATGAATGCAGATCACGTTGGAGGAGTACAGGACATGTATAGCTTCAGTGTAGCTAGAGGCAGTCAGTGTGTATGCCATGGCCAGGCAGTTGATTGCTCAGACAGAAATACTTACGCTTGTCTGCATGACAGTAAGAATCCCATGATGTCGATTTTCTCCTCATCAAACGGTAGTTGCTTGCCTTCGTAGATCCGTGTCATGCACTGATCGTTCCAGAGCCCGGTCCAATTATAACGTAAGACGCGTCCGGTCTCTGGCAATCTCCAGTTTGGCCGATCACATACGGCGCCACTGTATTGCCATACCTTCTGCCGAGACTTCGACGTCTGGCCAACTTTCATCAACTTTGGGGAGGGTAAGAGGTCAAATATGAGGTCCATGTGAAGGACTCGCCCGCCAAAGGCCGTCGTGAGAATCATGTGTCGACAATCATCAGGTACCTTGTTGAAGAAATGACATTGTGAAGGCTGCCTTTGAATTTTGACTCCGTTGGTATGGAGCGATTCGAATCCTGCGGGGGTGAGCGGTCTGCGCGGTGTTGGAAGGAACGGCGGCTTTTCTGCAGATTGCTTATTGGAAACCGTCCCTGTGCCAAGATGCTTTTTAATCCATGTGCTGAGCTTCGCCATGTCCAAAGGCCATGGACAGAGGCTGCCTGAGCAAGTCGCTGAGAGTCTATCGAGGCAAATAGGGGAAGATGGAGAACAGGGTACTTGCGCAAATGGACATGCGCACGTCAATGGCACCGAAGTCACATGCTGCACAGCCCCCCGCTGTTCTTGGCGGTTCCTTCGATACCGCTGCGGCGGTCCGCGCTGATGGCGTTCAGCCAAGATGACCCCCCCCCACCCCAGTGGATAGCAGCCAACATCTTCACCACCCGTTGTCCTAGCACCTTGGGTCGTTCACCTGGGAGCTCTAGCCGTCGTTGCTTTTGGCTGCAAGAAGTCTGCTCGCTCAATGACGAATCATTCTAAATTTTCTGGCTGCACAATCCGGGGTTTGTCGACGAGACGACACCATTCGCAGGCTGAATAGCTATAGCCCTGAGCCAACGTTCCTACAATAACAGACCACTACGGATAACTTCTGCGTTTACACACGGCTGTCGTCCACCTCCCCTCACGACACACATGCATGTGTATGATTAGTAAACAGATGCAGCAATGCGCGCAACTATCCGAGTAAACAACACGACGTCGGCATACACCATCATTTCGGTCCATCCATTATGCCAAAGCAGAAATCGCAATGGGTACTTCTTCCTCGCTATCGTCGACGCGGACGACGGCGGCTGGATACCGTGGAT